TTTTTTTTTTTCTTTCTTGCTTTTTCTTACATCTCAGAAACATTCCAAAAGGAGGAACTTTATGCTACATTGTTACTTTGTTGGTATTAATGCCTTGTTGTGGCATTTCATCTTAAATTACCTGGGAATCATGCCTGATTGTTTATTTTATTCTAGATTTACTTATACTAAAATGATCCGTCCTTTGGTATTAAAGCACCCCTATAATTTTTATTAAATAATCGAGAGCAGCGTCAATACAATGAATCAATGATAAGCATGCTTAGATTTTGATATGGAAGCTTAGCAATAATTTTTATTCATTGATTTATTTTCCGAGGATAGCAAGCAAAAACTGAAGCTGCAGCTGCATTTGGTAATGATGGTGTTTACCTGGAGAAATTCATCCAGAATCCAAGACATATTGAATTTCAGGTAATGCCATAAGCTTATGTTGTTAATAAAGTATTTCCAAACTTTGTAACTATATAAAGTTAACATAATTCAGATTTAAAATCATGTTTGGTGAATCTCTTGTCCTCTTGCACCACTCATTTCTGTCCACATTAGAAATTTGACTGGTTATTTCTCCAAAAAATATAAAGTGGAAAAGAAAAACCAACTTGTCTGTATATGCTCAAAATTGTGTTGTGATTAATTCGAAAAATAGAATACCCTGGTTACACTAAAATGTACTTAACATTATTTCCCTGTTTTTTTTGTTAAGAAAGGATTCCTTTTTTATACTAACTCCATATTTAGGTGCCAACAAGTTCAATGTGTGAACTCATGAACTTACAATGTGTATTTGCTTTTCGTGTGTACTTAGTATAGAAAAAAACTTACCATGTCGACATAAATTTGGTATTTACTCTTCTGTTGAGCTCTATCATTTCTTAATGCATTAAATGTGATACTTATTTCCATATGCCACCTTGTACAGGTTTTGGCCGACAAATATGGCAACGTCGTGCACTTCGGGGAGCGTGATTGTAGCATTCAGGTTAGCAAAAAATTTGAAATACGATGATTGGAATTTTTACATCTTGTTTGAGTTGTACAAGACTGGCTCTCGAACTGTGATTTTTATTTGTGATTTTTATTTTTGATCTTTACTGGAAAAGGGTTTTTCTGTTTGCAGAGAAGGAACCAGAAGTTACTAGAAGAAGCACCTTCGCCAGCATTGACAGCTGAGCTTCGTAAAGCCATGGGTGATGCAGCAGTAGCGGCAGCAGCCTCCATTGGGTACATTGGTGTTGGTACAATCGAGTTCCTTTTGGATGAAAGAGGATCCTTTTACTTCATGGAGATGAACACTAGGATCCAGGTAAGGAAACCCAAAAAATAAAAAATAATAAATAAAAACTATAGGGCCTTAGACATTTTTTGTGGAACATAGCATTAATTTGGATGGAGATAGTAATATAAACTACCCAGGGACTTGATGTATTTACAAAAAAGACCCAAAATTCTTAGTATGCAAAAACACCCTTGAGGTCTGATTATGTTTTACATCTTGATCCAACCATTAGTTGTCTTGACGTACTAGGATATCGTTAGATATAAAACAAATTAACAGTTGAAATAGTATCGATAGCCTCAACTTTTTATCTGACTAATAACCTTCACTAGCAAAATGTAAATTGATTTTGACTTGAAGGGTGGTTTCTGTAACTTACAAAGTTAGCTGGGTCTTTTTTGTAATTTGATCAAACTTCATTCTTTGTTGACGTGTACTAATAATCTTTTCCTTTATTTGGCTGCGAAGGTGGAGCATCCAGTTACAGAAATGATATCCTCTGTTGATCTTATTGAGGAACAGATTCGTGTGGCTCGGGGAGAGAAACTTCGTTATTCCCAGGTAAACTAATGATGGCCTTTGGAAACAGTGAAACTAATACCTGCTATTGTTTTCCTGCCTATAGGACAATGTTCTGAAATGATGTAATATCCCGTCTTAACTTTATTGAATATGGTCTTATCTATAGGAAGATATTGTGCTCAGTGGACATTCAATTGAATGTCGCATAAATGCAGAAGATGCTTTCAAGAATTTCAGACCTGGACCAGGTTTGTTTTAACTGTATTAATTTCTTGACTTGTTATAATTTAATATTCTCTATAATGTGCTACACCTTATTAGTTCAGGTGGTGTATGTTGGGTTCTAACTTCCCTCATGCATGATTGAACAGGAAGAATAACTGCATACTTGCCAGCTGGAGGTCCGTTTGTGCGAATGGATAGCCATGTCTATCCTGACTATGTGGTTCCACCTAGCTATGATTCCCTGCTTGGAAAGGTAGCACAAATGTTATTTTATGGTTTATGTTTTTACGCGCTCAAGTATTTTGTTGAAGTTTGTTGGCATGGGAGTAGGCAAAGAAAATGCTCTTTCTTCTGTTTTCTTCGCAAGGAAATCAAGATAAAATAAATCTGTGATGTGAATGACATTTTGTATATTTGTATGCAGTACTCCAAAAGACGTGGAAATCTATCCTTTATCGATATATTTGTTTTTGCTTGATTGTTTTTATAATTCAAGTTGTAATCGCTTGTTCGGTGGTTATGCGGACAGCTAGACCTTAAAATCTAACTAGAATGATGATAGAATACTAATAATTTGTGTGCATGCATTATTGAATGCGAGATAAATCTATTTTATGTTTCCATGTTTTATTTATTAAATTGAGAAAGAACAGTTTTAGAAACCCAGATGAATGACAGTAATTGCAATTTTAGCTTATTGTCTGGGCTCCAACAAGAGAGAGGGCGATTCAGCGCATGAAGAGGGCTCTTAGTGATACCATCATCACAGGTATATAATATATATATATATATATATATATATTTTTTTTTTTCTAAGTTCAGTTTATGTTTAATACTAGCACTTCTGCATGTGTTAATGTCAGTTGCATAGTTTTAACATTCATAAGGTGGCTGGGTAGATCTATATTCTAACACCCAATCATTTTTATTGTTGTGCTCTGCGTTGTTTATATCAATATTGTCGAGATATTTCATCGGTTGCTCAAATTATTTGTATAAATCTGTTAGAGATTTCTATTTGCCTTCTGTTAATCCTTAGTTGCCTTGTTCAATCAATCTTATGACACAACTATCAGGAGCTTTTATCTGAATATCATGAATGTTATCGATTTATTAGTTATATGCATGGTGTAAGATCCTTACAATTCTCTCAATGACACTTTGCTAAAGCAATAATTTACTATTGCTAGGGGTTCCAACAACAATCGACTACCATAAGCTTATCCTCGAGATTGAGGTAGGTTGTTACAATTTGTGAACATTGGTATTGATTCTTTGTAGAGGTTCCCGTGAAACTAACCTCTCCTCTCTCTTGCTGTATTTTGTCGTAGGACTTTAAAAATGGAAAGGTTGATACGGCTTTTATTCCGAAACATGAACAAGAGCTTGCTGCGGTAAGAAACTCGACTCACATGACTCGACCCTTTGTATGCTTCCAAAAATTTATCTGTACGAATCATCTAATATACCAATGGCCATCAATATTGTGACCTAATGTTTATATGGGCAGTGTTTATTAAGTAGCTAGTCTGTTATTTGGTCTATTGTGACCTATTTATGCTTTTAATCATATGCTAACTTTTTGTTTATTGGGCCTTTGTGGATAATTTAATAATGTTATAGAAGTGTTCAGAAAAAAAAAAAAACACATAATACTCTCAACATCTCTGAATCAAAGTCATTAGTAGAAAACCTTCGATTAAGTGATCAGATCACTGTATCCCAAATTTTTCAGTTGTCTTTTTCTGTTAATTTCTGGTCTTATTATAGTCCAATCTCCTTTCGGGATGAACTTGTTGAAAACCATTGTGTTTTGGAATAACTGCAAACTGTTTGGGCATTGCTTATCATGAATTCATTGTATGATTTTGCAGCCGGATACCCAACCTGCCAACACTCAGATACAGCTGGTTAATGCCTCTGCTTGAGTTAGTTTGGTTGCCTGCTTTTTCCACCCTCATCTTTTTAGTATGATTCCTGAGTTTAAATATTTTTGAGCTACAACGGGATGCATGTGTTTTTTTTTTTTCTAGAACTGAGATCAGTTGATCTCTGGTGAATGTAATGTTTCACATGGATTTTTGCTCAATGTTTTAGGTTTGTGCTATTGTATAAGTTCATCTCAAACACATTTGAATTTGTAGTTACTTGTGAAATGTCAAGTTACCTTCTAAATCAAAATTCTTTTCAACTTGTGATGATTTAATTTGATGGAGGGAGAATGTCTCTATATTTGGTTGAGGAAAGAGAATCTTGTTAAAAAACTATATAAGTGGCAATGTTCTAAAAACCGAACCGGGGAAGTTACTGGTTCAATGGTTCACCAGTGGTCGAACCGGTCGAACCGTTTTAACATATAATTTGCATTTATGTTATCTATATAGTATATAATTGCATATATTTTTGTCATTAATTTTATATTGTATAGTGCACTTTTAATAAATAAAGAAAAAAACAAATAAAAAACCCTGCATAGTCTAATTATATTAGCTACCATGATATTATAATATTATTAAGTACTATTGTTTTCAAATAAATAATGTGATTGTAATGAAAGAGAATTATGAAAGCCAATAAAGTGTCACCATAAATTTAATAACAATTTTTTAAACTATTAATTCAGATGATGTCATTCGTTAGTTTTTTTTTTTTTTTTTTTTTTTTTTTTTTTTTTTTTTTTTTTTTTTTTTTTTTTTTTTTTTTTATTTTTTTATTATTTTTTTTTTTAAAATTTTGATACTCATATTTATTATTTACACTAGCCATTTAGTTAGGTTTTCACTTTTCCCAATTCTCACGTTAAGGCCCATATTTCCTGTCCAAAATAGATGAGGCCTAATAAAGCAAAAAAGGGCCCAATAATTTCACCAACACTTTATTTGTAATGCTTCCACATCGGAAACAAAAACAAAAGAGAAATTTGCACTATGCACGACATTTATAAATTTTTATTACATAAAAGAAACCAAATCTTAAATAATAGCAATGAAACTAGTTGAGTCCTTTTTATTTGCAAAACTAGCATGTCAATAAAACAATGAATTTACATATATAATCAATTTTTAGAGTAATTAATGAAAAACTTATCAACTTCTCAAAAATCTAATCACGACTCTCTCTCTCTCTCTCATCTATTCTTCTTCTTCTTCTACAACTTTACGTTTAAATTTTTATCTCCTCCTACAGTTAAATTTTTTATCTGTTTTTTTATCGGTCGAATACGAGCGATGTAACACACCACATTTATTTGACAAAAGTCAAGGACTTTTCAAAAAGTCAACTTAAATTTTTTTCAAAACCTTTTCATAAATCAAGGGCGCTACTCTAACTAAATCACATAAATAACGTAATTCATACTTGCATAGATCATAAATCATAAATCCAACAGTTTCATAAATCCCACGGTCATCCAAATTATTCATAAGGGAACATCTCCCAATCCAAAGTTCCAAAGATTCCAAAGTCATAAATCATAAATCCAAAGTTGTAAATGCATAAATAAACATAAATAGTCTAGCATGCAGAATAAACTAAATGAGGTCAGTCAAAGACCAACACCACTCGTCTCTGTCTTGTCAGCCAACACCTGCTTAACCTGCATCCATGAAGAGCAGGTGGGAGTGAACACGGTGAACTGTAGTGCTCACTACTATGCACATGAACAATAATAAAGTACGAGAAATTAAATGGCATGGTCGCAGTATGAACATAGTCAATAAACATCCCATCTCCTAACCAACGTATTCTCATGTGCACACCTATAACAATAGACTGCTGCTCGTATGCCTTTCGGCGAACATAAATGGGGTGCCCAAACAGCAGGAGGCTCAACCGTCACAGCACGCACCTAGTGCTTGGACAGGATATCCATCACCGGCCAAGGCACATTGCCAAGGTCTTACAGATGACGAGGTCCTTAGCAAAGGACAAACGTGGAGATTACCCTTGCGGGGTACGTTCTATAGCTACGGGGATAACCGTTCGACGGCCGGTACAGCTCACATCGAAGATTACATGCTCACATGCGTACATTGATCATACCCACATATATAAAACAATTATCATTCAAGGCATAGACAAATTTTGAATAACCTACAAAGGTTCAGCTCGATGAACCTACAACAATTCTAATAGCCTATCAACTGATTATCCAATCAAAGACAACACATAAAGCACATATACTCAGCCGAAATCATATCGACTAAGTGACTCGTGGATTCTTTGACCGAGTTAAGTACTTTGGAGCGACTACTAGACCTGAACTCAACTCATATACCTCAGGTAAAACACATAAATCATGTCAACATCAATAAAATCCAATCCGAACCTAAACAACGGATAACCGAGCATTAAGACTCCAAAATAAATAAAATTCAGAATCCGAAGTTAGACTCAACCAATCAACCTAAAACTTTAACACATTTCAAGGCACGCAAAAATACATAATCTCACCAAGTTTCAGCCTTAAATTCATCCGGGAGCATTTTTAAATCATTTAAGCAAAAACAGCGCCAAAATCCAACGTTAATAGTTCATATAGCTACACTTCAAATTTTAATCCAAAATTTTTACACAACACAGAATACCACAAGATAACATACTACTCAAAGTTTCATCTCAAAACTCTAAGTTTACGATTTTAATGAATTTTACAACATTCTAACTAGAAACCGATTGAATTGATTAAAATATCTACAGATGGAATTTCGACTTGAAAATTTTACACGACTTACAAAGTCATCACATGACATCACATAAAAAATTTCACGGCATTCAGACAGTCACACGATTTATCATGAATTAATTACGATTCAGCAGCATGCTCGGTTTAGAAAATTCATAACTCATGATATACATATCGAAACGACCTCAAACCAAAACCAATAAATCAAGGACAACTCCAAGTACCTATAAATCCAGGATTTCCACGAAAAGTACCACTCTAAACTCAGTTTGATGATAAACCAAAGTGACGACAATTATTTTGATATCCAAATTGCATGTGAACTCATAATACGACACAATAACATATCCAAGGCACGCAATGTAGCACCCCGAGTTTTATTAATAAAGGAAAATACTAGCTTTTAATGTTAAGCTAGCCTTTGTTAATGAATAATCATGTTCATGTTCAAGTTCAGGTTAATCAGCTAGTTATGTTCCAAGTTCGACTATTAGTCGATATATTATTCGGTTTAATTATTTCACTAACCAGATAAGTTTCCAGATTTAATTCTGATTCGTTTCTTTTATTAATGAGTTTGGAATTAATAAGTTAAGTTGACGAATTATTCGAAATATCAATATTCGGATTAATCGTCCAAGTCAGGAAAATCCGAAATTATTTTTTGGAATTAATTATTTTTTTAGTCGAGATTACCCGAAATTATTTTCGACGTCACATTTACGTTCAGAATAATTTTGGTAATTAAGTATCATATTAGTTAATTAATTAAGCATACAGATTATGCTTAATTAAGATTTATCATGTTTAAGCTAATTAAGGCCGTGTGCATTATAAATAAGTTAGCCATCTTGCTTAATAATGCCGTGAGCATTTTGGGGATAATTGAGGGAGATATGTCTCCATTTCCTTAGACATGAGGTGTCCTTTTCTTAGGCAATTAAGTGATGACTAAGCCTAAGTAGGGATGAATAAGCACTCTTAAAACTTCAAGTGTTAGCATTTGGCATGTTGCCATTGGTCAAATATTCTCCCACCACCTCAACATGCTTTCGGCCTTGGTATATTAGGGAAGAGTTAGAATATATTTCCACATCTTTTCAGCATTCATATAATACCAAGGTTGAGAGAGTTAGTGAGAGTTAGTCTTATTCTTCAAGCGCTCACGGAGCTTAGTTGCACGCACGCCCGAGAGCCCGCGCACGCACGGGAGTTCACGGAAGGGCTACTAACACTCAAGCTGCTAAGGAGGTAATCTCCTCATGAATGTGATCTTGATGTTAGTTTGCTCCTGTTAGTTTAAACTTTAGGTTCAAGTTCATAAGTTAGTCATATATTGCGTTTGGCCGTGCGTAGAGCCTATGTCGAGCATGTTCATGTTTTGATCCAAATCTCTCGAGCAAGCTTCATGTATTCAGTCATTTTATGTTAATTCATGTTTAGTCAAGTTAACTTGGTCGAGAGATTTTCGTGATTTATCGGTGAATTGGCCGGGGGATGTGGACCGCGCACGTAGCGCGTGCCACGGGCCATTCCATGTTCTATCGAGTTCAGTTGCATCATGTTTATAATCTCCCGAGCAAATCATGTTTATTTGATCATGTTATGTTGCTATATGTTCAGTTGGTTTATGTTTGTCGGGAGAAATTCACGTTCAGTCGAGAAACGGCTTAACGTCGTAGGCGGCACTGATACGGAAGTGGGAATTGACCCTCGATGATGTGAAGGGCGGAGGACCGAGGTTAATGGACAAGGCCGAGCAAAGGGTGCAAAAAACGCTTGCATGGCCTAGGAGACATGCACGAGAACGTATACGAGGGTGCCGACATGCACAATGTCATAGGAGGTCGAGCAAGAAGCTCGAGAGTTTGAGGCTTGAAGCCTCGAGCGACGCGGTCGAATGGCGCAAGGTGTGTGCGAGGAAGCGACACGCACGACGCTCGGAGGCTAAGGTCTCGGGCGTTTACATTGTGAGGAGATGAGCGGTGCGTGAGGGGTGGATATTGGGTGGACAGCGCGCACGTGGGATGACCGCAAGGAAGGGCGCGAACACGCGCATTGGCGTAGACGTGCACGGGCGAGACCACGCCTCGAAAGGAAGCGCTATTGGAGGTTTTGGGATGCTTATAGAAGGGTTA